GTCTAAAGACCACAGATTCTCTCAAAACAAGACAAGGGCCTGGGGAGAATTTCGTGGCTTCATATCTGAACTGTTGACCACCAGATGACAATCAGCCACATCCAGATGCAGACACAGTGCAGCCGCTTGTAATGCTGCGCAGGATGTGCGCTCTGATTAAATGTGTCAGTATGCCTGCACAGTGTTTGCTTTGAGAAAAGCCCCAGGCACTTGGTGTCTTTGCATGTGCACTTTACCCAATGATCTGCAGGTTTTAGAGAAACTGAAAGGTTGAAGCTGATGGTGATGTACAGCAGTGTGGAGTTGACATGGTTGATTAACCTGTTTGCATCACAGAAAGGCCTTTGTCGATGTGAAAGCGTTTTAAATAAGTATGCCCAAGCTCTGAAAACGCACTCTCTCTTCTACAAAATAATTTATTTTTGCTTTTGGTTTTATGATTTATTTCTGGTACATGTTGTTGCAAATTGTTTGCTGGTACTTTCTATAATGTAGTTTTAGGCAATTGGCATGTTGCTGAGAGAGAGAGAGATTTTTTGCATCAGGTTCATCTTTTGGGTATGTCTCCCCAGTGTTTGCGTTAGAGCCTTGCTGATGACAAAGTATACTTTAACTATATTGTTTGCTGTAAACTTGATGTTGATGCTGGCTGTGCTGCTGTGTGACGTATTGATGAGTGTAATGCATTTGTTAGCCCACCCACCCAAAATCTCCACCAGCCGTCACTGGTGGTAATTACTCTATTGATCTGTATTGACAGACTGTAAGGCTATTGAAGGCAGTGACGTGAACAGACCTTGGTGATCTGGGTGGTGGTGGTGGTGCTGATGGTCTCGGAGGTGATGGTCTGGGCACTCAACAGCACTCCTGAGTCCCTCTCTGTCAGGCTGTCCACCGGCTGTGGGAGAGAGACCTTTTAAGTGTTACACAAGAACCACAGATTGATAAAAAGAAATATACACAATTGTCCCTTATTAATTATTTGCTATTTGTGAACTGTGATTTGTGTAATTGTGAGACTTGAGATATGAATCATACATGTCCGGTGAAAGAAGCGCTTCTTCTTTAATTTGCGAAATTCCAATTATAAGCTGTTTGAGTTTCTTGTTGGCTTTTTGGTCAATGAAAAAAACAACTAGAAAAGCATGATTATATTTCTCAAAGGTATGAAAAAGTAGTGTTTTGGTATTGGCTCCAGGTTCAATGTAAATGGTTAAATGTTAAATGGCTGCATTTAGATTGCACTACAATTTGCCCCTTATTCACCCATTCCGATTGATAACAGAGTACTACCATGCAAGCTGCTGACCTGGCCATCAGGAGGAATGTGGGGATCAATATCTTGCCCAAGGACAGTTTGACATGTAGCCAGGAGGAGGATCATAACGGCAAACACTGCAATTAGTAGACATCCTGCTCTACGCCGTGAGCCATAGCCAAATGCATGGCAACCACGGCCTCAGGGCAATCTTTGGATATATTACCATTTCTACTAACTGAAAGTAGACATGAATTGATCTCATGAAAATTTGCAGAGGTCAAACAAGGGCCAAAACTTCGGACTTGACTAGTCCTCAACAGTGAGCATATGTAACACACACAAACTACAGCTTTAAAAATAACTGCCTTGCATACAAGATGAAACAATTTAGACCTATAATTGTATTTAATCAAGGATTGCAGATACTTTATGAAATGATCTTTCTTTGTGTGCAATTCACAGAATTCCTCTCACCTGTGCTGATTCATATGTGATGGTCTTGGTCTCAGTGTGAACTAAAGGGATATCCTTGTTGGTCACACTTCCTCTCAGGGAGTTTGTGACGTCTGAGATGGTTATGGTCTGGGTCTTTAGCACAGGAGACTGGAGGGATCAGATAAATAGTCAGCAACAAATTCTCTGACTCTCAAACTCTATTAATACACAACAACTGTCAAATATTATCATACCTCTCAGCAGCAAGAAATTGAAATACAATGACACATTGCAGCCTTTAAGGGTTAAGATAAACAGTACAGTAAACAATGTATATTTTAAGTGAGAAATATGCAATGCAATAACATAATCTTGATTCATATTTTAACAGCACTGCCTAGTTTGACAGTCTGATCTGAGTTTTGTGTGTTATACTGGATGTCCATCCAGTATAACAAAACTCAGATCATATCAGATCACAGAGTAAAATAGACGAAAAAGTCTTTCTCAAAATAGGAACAATCATTTGTATAATGATGTATGGACGAAGCCATGGAACTACAGATTGAGACCATAAACTCAAGAAACAAATTAGGAATTTAGGAAACAAATAAATCATGTGAGAATTTCTCCCTAAGGTTCCATACTATCAGACTATGTTTTTGCAGATCATGGAGCTGCCCCCTGCTGGCCAATTGAAGGAATGCTGGTTTAAGAAACTTCCACATTGGCTTCACTCACTACAGCTAACTTTACAGACCTGGAAGTTTTGTCCACTAATTATATACTGTCAGTGGTAATATCCTGTATCCTTGTCCTGCTCATTCATATTGCTTTTATTTGTTGTCGTATATATTTTCATTAGATACGACAAAACCTGTAAAAACATTTATTTATATTTAAGTCTCTACTTGGGCAACAAACAAAATTGTGTAAAATTTCATCCAATTTCATCTAGAGTGACCAGTCCTGCCACATGCTGACCAGGTGTGTACCAGATAACACACAGTCACACACACCAGCCACACATCTACAAAACCTTCACAACACCTGAATCCTATCAGAGGAAGAGCAGATGTCAAACACACACACACCTCCAGATGGTGGAGTATGCCCTGCCCTCTCATTTCATATTCAATTAGCAGAATCAAAGGAGGATGCAGACCTGGCCTGCTGTACCCTGCGTGTGTAAAGGGAAATTACATAATGAGGTTCATATGGCCACAGAGAGTGAGGGCAGAGAGTGAGGGAACAGCAGTAGGAAAACCATTCAACCATTCCCCTACATTCAGTCAGCTGTTTATTTAAACTTAGACCACACTACATGATTTTAGCCAGAGTTTCCACTCTGCAACCATTTTTGGAGGTCGCCGTAAAATCACCCTAGATCGGTGGCAAATTAAAGCTCTGTCCCGTGAGCAGGATCTGAGGAGGACTGCAATGTGTGAACTGTTCAAAGACCTGATCTGCAGGCTCGCCAAGATGTCCGAATCCCATGGAGTAAAAACCACATATACATTTTTACATTACAGTTTATGTTAAAGTTTCTCCTGACCAAAGTCACTTTTTTTGTTGAGGAAATTGAAGCACATCTTTTACAGAACTTTGAGCCAAGTCTGACCAGGCAAAGAGAATAACATTGCATAACTTGCTGACTATTTGGGGAGATTGCCATCAAATGATCGGAGGCAAACCAGCGCACGTTCCCGTGAAGGCTATCGAGTTGTGAGAACTGTTAAACAACACGACTCGTAGGCTCAACAAGAGCTCGCCGAGGCCAGAACAATATCCAGCAGGCTAAATATCTGGTTGTGTCGGAAATGACTGGGAGAGCCATGCAGGGAGCTACAGCCAGTGAGAGCAGACACTGGTAGCCTCTCTCTCCAGCACCAGACAGGAAGCAGCAAACCGGTAGTTACTTTGGTAACAGCGAAAAAAACTCAGATACCAACACAAACAATAGTGTTGTGAGTTGGTGTTCAAATGGGCGTGTATCTGATCCACCAACCAGCACTTATTTTAGTGAGAAATCTTAATTATCAACATGGTCCACCCCCTATTCCCACAGTCCAATATAGCGCTTCCTTAGTTTGTGTTTTGAGTGAGTTGAGGCGACAAAATGTTAAGTTTGTACAGAATGCAGTTTGTCTTTGTAGATTATATTGATGCCGAATTGAAAAGCAGACTGTCGGCATATGACGTCCTTCGGCTTGTGTTCCTAGAGTTCTGCGTTGTTTTGGACATGTAAGGAATTGTTAAAATGTCGTATTTCTTAAAGGCAGTTTGGCGCAGGGAGCTTTTAATTTAATTCAAACCGCTAAGGCGCATATTTAAGGTTTCGTCACCACTACAGAAACACTTGGTGGTATCTTACCATAGTATCGATATACCGTAGCAACCCTAGTAGGCGGTCTTTTAATGTGGCCAAAGACACATTGTGTACACACTCCTAAAAGAATGTGTCCAAATGCGTCCTAACTGCTTGTATACCTGCTTGAAGGTCTTGTTGGTAATGTAACTTATTTCAGCCATATTTGTGACATTTTCCCCTGTGATAATCCTTTGTCAAGCCTTTCCAACAACAATACAAGACTAGTGTTTTGGAAAAAGGTCAAACGTGGTCTTAATTTGCCTGCTGTGCCTGCGTGTTAACTTACGAGAGGACGTCCCCAACGTAGGCGTAGTAGGAGCAGCAGAAAGGCGGAGATCCATCGCAGCAATACTCTATACAGCCTTCACACTGGGCTTTGCTGCCACCTGCAACACACACACATCCACACACTGTTTTAGTATCTAATAGAGGATGTTAAATTTTGTGGAAACAGATCACCAGCAATTCCCAGAGTGCTGGTAGACAGAGAGAAATGTCATTAGTACAGACAGAGTCTTTAAATTACACATTAAGCTCTTCGGTGGAATAATCGAAAATAAAGTAATACCTTTTTTAAAGGTTAATGGGGTTATAAGGAAAAAAATACTTTAAGTTAAATAAGTTGTTAAGAAGTCTAAGAGGTGCCAACTTAAAACAAAAGAATGCTTTTAAAAAGAAACCGTTCAGTCAGGTCGTGTTATCTGAGAAACTTTTTTAACCTTCCCCTGGATGAAAAAGTAAAACGCTATAATGAAACCTTTCATGGACCAACCTCAAAAAAGCACACAACCTCCAACCAGCAGCCTCTATTTATACCTTCAAAAGACGGATTTAAAAGTGTTAAGACAGTCGATTTATTATGAACTCTGAGAAGTGGAGAAGCCCTTGCCCGTTTTTAAAAAGAAGCAATCAATACCTGTGGAGCGTCTGGGGGAAAGAAAAAGATCTCTGAGGTTGGTTCACACAGGGACCTTGGGTTTTGTTCCAATAAACCACCCCTGCTGGCCTGCATTACTGTCTATAAAGATTTTTAAATATCAGGAACAAAAAAATAAAAGCACTGGGAGATTTAAACAAGTCTCTGCCTACAGGAAGCCTTCAAAGTCTTTCAAGCAGGGTTTTGTGATTTCCTCCTTTTCTTGGATTAAGATCGTGAAAACAAACAGACTCAAACAGAGCTCTAATTACATACAAACAACTGCATAATACAATACAAAGATCACATGGCAACAAGCGAGCGTTGCCATGTAACAGCTATGAGTTAATAGCAGACATGCTTGATGTATTTTTCCATGTCCTGGGCAGCGAATCGGCCATGTGCATCAAACACTGTTGACTGCAAACTGGCTGCATCTGACACAAGAGTCTACTGGCACAGCCTGGGAGATTAGCACACTACTTATGATAGCATGGCATTATCGATGAGTTTGCACCACGTTTAGTCGCCAGAGTTACTCTTGTCGAATTTTATGACATAACAGCAGCAAAAACTGGTCTTTTTTGTTAGGGTTTTTGTCCATTTGTTGTTTTTTTTGCCTTGTATCCATCAGGGGATGTGAATGAAATTTGGTGGAGGGATCAGGAACAAGTTGTTGGATTTTGGCATACATTTACACCATTTTGTCTTGACTTAAGCCCTTTGCTCCTCCAGGGAGCGCAGGCCATTGACAAATCTCCTCCACCTCACACGGTTTTTAGCGATTCTCTCAAGCTCCTACATTTCGGCCAGGACACCTCTTTTCCAGCTGTTATTTTCCTTCTCCCTGGGGAGGGGAGGGTCCATTTCAGGGCTTGTCGGGTGATGTTTTTGGCAATTTTTCAGAGGGTGTGTCCAACTCCACTTTCTCCTTCAATCCTGGCTTGTTCTTTGTTTTCAACAGTTGTTTTGAATATGGAGATTTCACTGGTCCCAGCTTTTCAGGTGACTCAATAATGGATAATGCAAAAAATGGTGAGGTGCAACCCTAACAGCGCCTAAGTTGTGAGTCCAGAAGCTCTTTAACCTGACGGCACCAAATGGTCTCTAACACAGACCATTTGGTGCAGTCATCGTTGGAAACTGTTTAGGAAAGGGCAGGCCCTTGACATGCGAATACTTGGCAGGCGATTGGATGAACCATCTGTCTTTTAGAGTCTATAGGGCCAAACTTAGCAAAGCCAGTCAGGAGAAGAGTAAAAACATATTTTCCGTCGAGAAAAGCCTTCAGTGCCGTTCTTTTCTTTTCTTTTCATGAATAAAAACTCTCCAGTTCTGGTATAACTGACACTAGCAGCATCTATACTTACCTCTTTAGCAGCAGCCACTGTTGTTTTCGAGCGAACAGTCACTTCTCACTAGAGTTGTTCCAATAACAGCATTGGAAATTCCTCCAATACTGCCTAAAATGCAGTATCAGGTATCAACGAGTATGTCTGTGCACAGATCCAATAACAGGACTACTTCCCAGCAACGTCCCATTGTGCTTCCCCCCCTCAAGATAGCGAAGTCATGACCCGTCATATAACAATATGTGGACATCAGATCAGTATCAGGAAGGACAAACTGGTATCTGAACAGCTCTACTGGTCACACACACACACACACACACCTCGTGTTAAACCAAGCCCATAGCTCGTCTCGTAACTGCCAGTAGTTCCTCACAGGCTGCCGACTGGGCCGGTACGACTGTGGTTGGACACACATGGATTGAATCATGGGAAGATGGATTCCAGCTGCCTCGCAAGATAAGGAGACCTTCAGACGATTATCAAATTCATTTAATCTGATTGAAATGATGTCTTCAAGTTTAAATGTGCAGCTTAATTGTACACGTTTATTCCGCACCGGGAGGACTATTCGCTGGAAGAGCTTTGTCAAGTCTTAAAAATTAATTAACCATGAGGAGGTCATCAGGGTCATCTCAACTCGGGAAGTGTAGGATCCAGCATTTTTGCGAGCTTGACCTATACTAATAATTATAATTTTTAGGGATGAATCCCCCCCCCACCTATGGAAGTGGCAGTACTCCATCGCGGGGGAGTGCCCCCCTTATCTGTGGGGAGGAGTTTTTTGATTGCAAGGGTTACTCTAAACCGTGTACCACAGAAACGGGAAAGCGGTTGAGAACCGATGGACACAGAATCGTGAGCCACTCTGCTCCAGCCAACTGGAATTAACTTACTTTTTGAGTGGGAGGATCATTTAAAAAATGGGACACCGAATGACTGACGCGGTTCTGCGTGGGTGAGGGTGGGTGGGGGGGGGGGGTTCAAATTTAGAGTACGATTAAGCAGCACCGCTTTACCACTCCTGCCCACCGACACAATTCATGGCTCGCCCACGACATTTTTTACATCGAACATTGCTTATTCCTTGCAGACGTGGCACTTGCAGGGTCTTACTGCTTTTGTGTGCCGTGCATTAATGTTGGTTTCATTATCCCCACCCACTCAGCCAAGGCCTCCATATTCAAAAGCCAGCTGCCATACACAGCCTGTGCCTCTGCTGTACTCGTCTCAACCTGCCTGCCACCGACACGGCAAGCCCTTTTTCATCTTGGGGAAGAGTCCCCCCCCCCCACCACTACCACCACCACCACCACCACCACCACTTTTCCTTCACGAGCTTGGCCAATACTCTGGTTTTCCTCGCTGTCGCTGGTGTAGAAAGTCTTCACAATCCGCCGGGGGGAGAGCCGTCAACACACACTTCAATTCAAGCGGCCAATGCCAAGAAAAACAAGCCCTGCTGGCCCCGGTGTCGGTGGTAGCTGTGTGTGTGCGTGTGTGTGTCTTTGCCTATAGGATCTTGGCTTTCTCTCAGCAATCACTCACACTCAAATGATGTGTGCCTGAAGGCATACATGCACATTCCAGGCATGGAGTTCACAGCACAGGTTAGAGGACCAAAGGACAGAAAGCAGCCCTTTTCAATACTGCAGGAGGACGACTTGCCCACACTTATTAAAGAAAACTGTGTCGCTCCTTTTTAAGGGAAGGGAAAGGCCTTTCAAATCATACACTTTTAAGGACAGAATCTTTGTTTTTCTGTGGATAAAAATCAAGTTTGATGGACGTCTCCTTTATGGGATGGAGCGTCACAGCCAACCCACTTTTCTTCCCCCAGGGAGGGCAAGGGCCTCCCTGGGGAGGGGCCACAAGCCCCTGCCCTAAAAGGCTGGGATACCTTCAACGTAAAATGGCCGCAGGAGGTCCGCTAGCAGCTTTCTTGGTGTCTGGTCTGGGGTGGTCCTCAGGAGCGCCTGCGCTTCTCCACACGCTGGGGGGGAGACAATGGCCACCATCTCCTTTCACCCCCACTCCTTTTAACACACACACACACACACACACACACACCCTGCACCCCCCCCCCCCTTCCGCCAGCACTTGTACCACAGACTTGACTCAGATTAAAAGTTTCCAGCAGTTTTGGTGTTCAGTCTGTGCTTCATTTGGGATGAAACCCTTTTTGAAGTGATGTTTTCCAGAATAAAATATTGCACATATCTGACTTTTAAAAGAATTTCTTGACTTCTTCTAGTTCCCCATCACTTTCCTCTTTTGTCCAGCAGCTTGTTTCTAAAGCTGGGGGGGGGGGGAGCTCCATCATTAATAAAACAATGAAGAAGGGGCTGGTAAATTAGTACGGGACATTGTGGGCTGGGTTTAAAAAAAAAAAAAGAGTGTCTGAACTGGTTGAAAAACTCACCGGTGAGTAAAGAAAGCAGCAGCGAGTTCCCCAGCAGTTTCCAGCTCCACGCCTGCGTCCTCCTGCAGGGGTTTTCCATGACCCCTCAGTCCCTGGGCTGCTTTTATTTTCCTAATCACTGACAGAAGACAGCAGACAGCGCTTCTTTCCCAGTGCTTCCCAGGAGCATTGCTGTGCCTCTTCCTCCCCTCGTTATGGCTCTATGCTTTATTTCAATATTTCCGCTCAGAAAGTGGAGCTCCGTTTGTTCCTCCACGTGTGAGTGAGTGAGTGAGCGCCTCCTCTGCCGCCGCTCCGTCCTGTTCCCACACCTCCGGCTGCCTGCTGGGCTTTATATCTCCCTCCCTTCCCCTCCTTTCCCTTCCCTTCCCTTCCCCTCCCCTCCCCCGCCGTCCCCCGTTTGCTCAAATTACCCTGTTGAGTTTACACCGAGGAGAGAGAGAGAGGGAGAGAGAGAGAGAGAGAGAGCAGTTTGGTAGTCAGCCATCATATCAAAGAGAGACTTCTGGTCAATATTTTCAAAATAAGACTAATTGGGAACTATTTGCCAGTGTACATTATTTTGGAATAATCCAGATAGATTGATATATATTGATGTCTTTTTATCATCATTTGTCATCGTCATTTTATTTTTCTATTATCATAATAGTATATACATTTCTCTATATTTATTTGTATTTATTAATAATAATAATAGGATTATTATTGATCTATTTACTTGTTTGTGTATCACAATTCATGCATCAGATGCGACACAAACTGCTTATACCGAAAACATATGACATTTATGATTAAAAAAAACCCAAGAAAAATAAAAAATAGAATTGAATTAAAACAGCAGGATACAACAGGATAAACATTAAATATCATTTTTATAATTATATATAATAATATTATTATATTATCATGTGTTTATCTCCCTTATTTCTTATTGCTTAAAAAATACATTTGTTCTATTCTTATTTATATTATTTGTGCTCATCGGTATCTCATACACACATTTGTATGTGTAATGTTTATTTTTTCTTTCTAGTGCAAATGTTTAGTCTAGTGTTTTAAAAAACGGGGATAACAACTAATATTTAAAACATCTGTGAAAGCAAGCTGTTCAATTTCCTGAATTGTTAAATGTGACATACATGTATGTTTGTTGTGCTTTCTTTTTCTTTGCTTTAGATACTATTGTAAATAAAAGGTTAGTATTCATGCCATGCCAGTAATTATTAAGATAATCATGTAGGATTTTTAATACGAGGTCTAGCAGAATAAAAGGAGGCACCCAAAACATCACTGTTTGCTATTCCCTATCACTATTTATTTGGTTTTGATTGAATTTGATTCACTGCTTTGTACACACAGTCAGATGACATTATACAACTGTTTTCACAGACTGTGTGCTTCCCATGACTGCAGTGTTACCTTTGTGTGTAAAATCAGCAGTGACATTTTAAACTTGAAAACAGATTTTCTATCATTTCTATGTTTTATGTTAATATATGTTGACTCTGGTCTAGCAGGTTTACCCCATTGTCATCGCTTTACAAATGTAAGATTATATAAAGAAAATCTTAGTAACTGTGGTAGTGTTTAGATTTGGTCATTTAAAGGATGTTTTTGAAAGTTTCTCTGTGCTCATTGAAAATTAATTTTTTAAGGGGCGGGGCCTACAAGCATGATTTGTGACATCACTAATAGTTTGGGAGTCTTTCCCGGTCCAATATACAACTTATACGAGTTCATAGATTATGGCATTTTTAATGAGCTATAAGTAGATGCCTTTTTTAAGGATGTTAATGTGTAAAACATATCAGACACACATTATTGCTCCAAGCAGACTGTTTGCATGTCTTACTACATGTCTGGAGGGGGATCTTTAAGTGAGTTTGTGCTTTTATTTTAAAGAATTATCCGTCTTCCGGTCTGATTCTTGTTATGTCTGTGAAGCTTGACAAAAAGACGCCTGTGCATCGGTTTCTACGTGCTTTTCTCTGCTCCCTGACACCTGCTTCGCGCGTTGCCGTCACATCACGACCTCTATTGAGATGAAAGCGGAATCAGATTGTAATGACCCAAAGGGGGCACAGCACGCCGCATTCGCACCTGTGTGGGAAGTGACTCAGGGTCTATTTTCAGAAAGCAAAAACAACACGAACCGCCTTGTCAGGGGTTAAATCTGTCCCTGGAGCCATTGTGTCAGAGATGGGGTAACCTGAAAACATCCCCCCTTTAACACAGAACATATGTCAAAGACACAAGAACACACTCCTGATAAGATTAAAGAAGGGAGTTCTTGTTGCTGGTGAGGAGGGATGTGGAAAAATAGTCTAACCCCAGAGGGCCAAACCAAACACTAAATAGGGCAGCGAGGGCTGATGATGATGATGATGAAGAAAAGAAAAAAAGTTTTTATTTACCACTGAAAAGGAAACTCTTACACTCTTTGCTGGATTTTCAACTGGGATACTGCCCCTTGGCCCAAAATCTTTAGGTTAACTGAGTCATATCATATTCATAGGTATGTTTTCATTAGAGCATAATGATCTGAAAATTTTGTTAGCTTAGAATTAGAGTTTTTATCTCCAGCGGGAACAGGTCCTCCTCTGGCGGAGTCTGCCATGTTTCTACAGTAGCCAAGAACAGACAAACCAAACCCTGGCTCTAGACCAGAGCCATGATAGCGCATCACAGTGGGGGGAATAGTGTTAAATCTAACCTGGTAGGGTGTAATATCTTTGTCAAGCAACAAGTAAGGGGGGAAAAACAGCTTTGATTTACCACTGAATGGATACCCACGACAAAAAGAGCAGGGGCAGATCGCCACCTCCACACACCCCCCTCTGTGCTGGGAATACTTTGGATCAAAAACACCACTTGTGCTAACCTGTAGAGGCTTAATTATAGTCATAAAACTGATAATTAAAGAGCTAAATTATAGCTGTGAAAAGGCCCCTGGTAGGCTGTTAGCAACCATAAAACTTCACAATCCAAAAGCGGTGTGCATTAAAGGACCAGTGTGTAGGATTTAGTGGCATCTAGCGGTGAAGTCGCAGATTGAAAAGCACTTGGAGGACAGTGAAACTCATGTGAAGCTAGTGTTTGTGTTTAGTGGTTTGTCTCTTCTGGACTACTGTAGAAACATGGTGGTGGACTCCGCCAAAAGAGGTCCCACCCCTTCTGTAGATATAAACGTCTGGTTTCTGTTTGTGATTACACACTAGTGAAAGCTCATGGATCCTCTTAAATGTTACACACTGGACCTTTAAAGAATAATGTATAAATATATACTTTAAAGGTATTTTGCTCATTTGTTTTTAGGTAAAGGTAGCAGCAACAAGAAAGCAACAATGTAGTAATACTTGCATAGGAACAAATAAAGTTTATTTTTCTAATATGAGTTAATAAGGAGATCAGTAAATTATACGATCAATATTTTTACCTTGTGTAAAATTTGTACATCAACCATCTATTCCATTTACTGCACTGACCCGACTGAAGCTTTTGGCCACAGTGGAATAGATTCTTCTTTTGAAGTTTGGAAAACTGGACCAAATTTGCCATAATTTAAACAAACTTTTATGGGCAACCAAGGGTGGCAAAAGGATGAAGATAATTTAGTCTCGGAAATGCCACCCACATTGAGCAGCGATGATTCATAATGCCTTCCAGATGTTGCGGTAATTGAGCGGTAAGGAAGCTGAGACAGAAAAAAACAAGCAGGTAAAAAAGGTTACATGCGTACATATTAATGATATTTTCCTCCCTGGTTGTGTGTATTTTTCTGTCAATCGTGAGGTCAAAATAAAAAATGCATTCAGTATACATCCTCGCCTACAGCAGTTGTTCAGGCTTACAGAGTCCGGTAACACATTATGCTATTACGCAGATTACAGAGATGGCCAATCTTCTTCTTAACCATCCGTAATTACAGGATAATTATTTCCTTTGTGCTGCAGTGGGAGCCGACAAGGCGGGAGATCATCTTCCTGGGGGCCCAACAGGAAGTGTCTCACAGGCTTCGGCCTTTGAGTGACATTGCTGGTATTTTCTGGTTCCAGCTGGGGGTCCAGAAGGTTCAGGGGAGGATGCCAGACCACAGAGAATTTAAAACAAAGCTAGAATCAAAGAGTTTTAGATGTGAATTCTACAGCTTTCAGAATGGCATTCATCCCCAAAAAAATAACTGATGTGGTGTATGTCTACATTACAATGGCCGCTTGTTTGTCGAATCTAAAATTGTGCATCAGTGCAGCCTTGATTAGAGCAATTTTAGAGCAGCAGTTATTCAGCAGTCTGATTGATCTAATGTGACGTCAGTATATTCCACTATCAGCTCAAGTGTTGGAAATAAGTGTTATTAATTCAACCTTTAGCAGTGACTCACAGTATATTTTTGGACTAATGTATTATAATCCACCTTTCTTATACATGCCACAACTCCAGTTTGCACATATAATCCAGACAAACACATAAAAACTTATTTTAAAAGGCTTAATGACTTGGATTAATGATAATAAAATCATTTGGCTGCATTGATTAGGGGGAGGAATGACAGTTAGGCTGTGTGAAAATGTTGCATTGGTATGTTAGCTTTAATTTAAAGTAGCAGAGGCTAACAGGTACATGCAACAATTGATATGGAACAGACTGAAAGACATTAGCACGCCACCATGTCACTTTAAAACATCAATTTTAGACTTGGGCAGGATTACAAACCTGACTAAATGGGCCCCATACCCCCAGAATCCACGAAGGCCCCCTAAAAGAGTTATTAGGAACCCACAAGTGAGGGCAGAAAATGGCCCCTAGGCTTGCAGTTGATTTAGAGGCTGTGGATCCAAATTGGATGACCTGCTGAAATACTTCCATCTAGTGGACAAAACCTGAGTCGCAAAGAAATGCGTTCACATTTTGGGTAGGTGAACCCCTTCATTCCAAAATTAAAGCCTGTGAACACCCACACAGGTGTTTGCAGTTAACCTGGCTGATTAAACCTCTTCTTGGGTTGAAGTTGGGCTGGACCTTTGATGGGAATTCATTACATCACCAATAAGAATGATAAAGGTGTCATTTGTCCCGCCCTAATAGGTGCAACCAAGCTTACAGGAGACTGACGTTAATCAATTAAGGCCCACACAGTCTTGAGCAGAGGTCTAATCCACCAGGTTAACTGAAAAAACCTGTGTGTGTGTGTGTGTGTGTGTGTGTTCACAGGTTGTCAAACAGCGCCCCCCCAACAGCTCACTTATGTGTATGTAGGCTGTTTGGTTTTAAAGTTAATGTTAGAATTAGAGTTAGATTTTAATATTACATATTGCCATGCATACTATAACAAAGAATAATAAACAAAAAGTATGTTACACAAGTTAACTCACATTATGAATGCATCCACTAAGCTTTGGAAAGGATCTTTCCAGCTGTCATCGGGACCCTATTTATAGGAAACATTAGTAAATACAAGATAATATACATACATTTTGTCCTTTAATGAAACAGTCTGCCTTACTTACAGGTTTCAGATTTGTCTCATAGGTAAGTATCCTAAGTGGCTCCAACACAGGTCTGCTTCCATGCAATTCTGCCTTACACAGAGTGTCAAACAACTCCAAAACAACACATCCTGATCTGTTAGAAAGTCAGATACACACATTAAATTAGCACACATAGCATGGGAATACAACTCAAAGAATGTAAATAATAATAGATGGGGGTGCATTATGGGAACGAGGGTCCTCCCCGGCAGAAAAAAGACAAACCTGTGTGTGTGTGCCTCTCGTAACTGCTGACCACATTCATTCCACGTACAGAAGTGCAGCTGTAAATTGGCGACCAGGTGTGATCTTGCTTTATGGTGCCCTGGAAATCACCATCCAACACTGTGACGCTGAGAATCAGTCACACACATTGGTAATGTACATGCTGCACGACATGACTGTATTGATGTAATTGCTGCTGTCAGAGAGGTGTTACCAAGAGATGTAATCATGTGTGATGTCAGGATGGTTTAATGTCTCCCATGACCTGTTCTGTAACATCTCCCACACTCCTGATGCTGTTTTTCTGCAGTGATGTGTGTCAGTGAACGAGTTGGCTCTATCTATCCTAATCTCTTTCTTTCTTTTTTATTTACAGATAAGGCTAATCTAAAACAGATTATAAAATAATCTTATAACATATTTGATAAAGAAACGTCTCACTTTAGGAATAACATTAAAAGTAACAAGACCCAAGCGCAGTCGCCAACGAAGAGCCGTTTGGGAGACGAAAGAGCCGGCTCTTATTGGTGAGCTGAGCCAAGTGATCTGGCTCACCTGCTGGAATTCCTCATCCCTGTTGTTATGGATGAAGGCAACAGAAAAGTCCTAGAGAAATGTTGTGTTTTCCACCTTTACATGGAAGTTTTTTGAAGTACAAGTCGTTGGTGGCAAATATCAGTGGGCTTGGATATGTAGATTAGTGACTGATATTTGGCAGCCTTGGACATTTTCACAAACTGACTGTAGTGGGTTTGGTAATTGGCAGATTCTAATGTTTAAAATGTGTGTGTGTGTGTGTGTGTGTGTGTGTGTGCAAATCAATGGACCTTGAAACAGGATCAAACAGACAAACCACTCTGGAGACAGTAGCTGCACAAGTCAATGTGATACTTTATTCATGAACCTAGGACCATATATATATATATATAACACTGTATAAATACTCTATATATTCTACTCCCTTCTGTGATCTCAATAACAAATAAAAAATAATATTAAAAAAGCCACATGATTATATTTAACAGGCTGTACAAAAATAAATAATGTTTGGATATTCTGTACAAAAGGAAAAGACTTGATAGAAAAAAACAAAACAAAGGTGCCTTCGCAGAAGGCAGGAGAGACTTACTTATGAAGTAGTAGCAGGAGACAAGTCCCTCTTTAGGTCTCCACACACGCACACACACATGCACCCACACACACACACACTTCTCTTTGGTCTTGGAAGAGTTCCCTCATTGAAGGCTGTGTAGACGAGGGCAAGATATGGCTAAAGGATAAAGTACTGTGTACTGAGGCATTTAGAGACAACTGGGTGTTACAATGTGCCGCTGGCAAAAACAAAGATGAAGTGCTACAGGTTTGTGATAAATAAACGTAGACTGGCAAGTTTGAAACATAAACACTATGACTATTAGCTATCTTATTTTCCATACCTGATGGGGTGAGCAAGTAGAATATGACCTATTCTCTTTTATTTGTTTCTTTATATACTCTGCAATAACCTCCCCCACCCCAACCCTTATGTGTCTGTCCAGCCCAGCTTGGACAAACATCATATACATGCATTAAAAATTTTACACACACACACACACAGTCTCACACTCACACACGCACAAGCATGACATTGGCACGGTAAGCAGCACGCTCCTTTAGGAAATCAGGAATGTCCATGCTTTCTTTCCCCGAATGGGAGGCATAATGTGCCACTGCTGCGCTGAGGCCGAGCAGGCAGCAAGTTTTTATCAGTCTTTATTGCTGCAGCTAGGTGGAGGTGCCACTGAGGGCCAACATCTGGCCCCAGAATGGATGGAGGGAATGGGTAGAAACCGGCCTTTACAGTCACAGTCACTGTAGACCCATTGACGTGTGGGACTGTGAGACTTTCTGGAACCCACGAAGACCTGCAGCACTCTCGCTCTGGATGTAAACATTCATCGACCTCTTTACTCTCACTGTCCATGGGAAAAAGGAGGCAGTGAAGATCAGAGTCTTGATCTTATGTCTCTCTAAAAGCTGGGTGTGTGAAAGGAGGTTAGATTGTGGAAGCAGTCCTTAACAGGCGCCCTGATTGCACAGTTCCAGCAGGGGTCGCGGCCGGTCCTTGGAGTCACAGCTGTCATGGGTTAGTGTGCGCCCGTCGTGGCCGATGCAGCGCAGTTGGCGTTTGCGGAAGCCTCGGCCACAGGTCTTGGAGCACACTGACCATTCTCCGAGAAGCCAGGAGGGACAGGGCTGGGTGGCGCAGGACCGTGAAGCCAAGGGGCGCAGCTCCTCTGGGCAATCTCTGGAGGGACGACCCTGGGGATCTAGACACACCACCTCTCTCTGCTGCATACCTCCTCCACAAGTCTGGGAGCATGGACCCCACTCCCTCAGGGTCCACTCGGCTCCGCCCACCTCTCGGATGGCATTGATAGACTGGCGGCGGCCTCCGTTGTTGCTGGGCACTGAAGCAGCATTGTTGGGTCTTGGTGCAAAATAGCTGTACTTAACCCGGGGCCTTGGGGATTCCCCTACGGACAGCACCTGGATGGTGAGGGGCTCGGGGAGTGGCGAGAAGCTCCGGATGCGCTCCAGCGTGGCAGAGGAGCCGCTGTATCGCAGCAGCGCCCCTTGCAAGGCGATGTCGGTCTCCATGGTCATCAGCTTGTAATCGCCATTTAACAGATAGGTTCCATCTTGGCGGCGCACTGCCAAGTAGCTGTTGTCATGACGACTGTTGCCTGGGGCACGTTGCTTGATGTCCAGGTGGGTGGCACCAGCAGGGATAGTTACAACATCCTGGTAACCAGGCCTGAAACAGAACCAGAGAGGTCAGACTCAGCCATGAGGATTATTTTGACATGCATGCTATGAGGTTTTATTATATATTAAAAGATGTTTGTGTACAACAATGAGGCGGTGAGTTGTTTACCTGGCACGCTCCAGAGCGCCAGACACCTTCTTGCAGGTAGAGCCGTCGCCACCACACACACCGCACTTATCAAAGCGGCGGTTAGAGCCGATGACACGGTCACATCCGGCCTTGACACACTGGCCCTGAACACAAACTGAGGTGGAGTCTGGGCTGCAGGGTGTACCATCAGCCACCTGGGGGCAGCAGAGAGACACAAATGGAACTTTTGAGTTATGTCTAGTAAAACTGTTACATAAGAGAGTCAAAAGGTAAAAAAGTAAAAGTCTTTCCCCCCCAGTAAGACAGTAGCCTAAGGGCTGACAGCTGATCCTTCAACTTACAGGTCTGCACAAGTAAAAGGGCTCTTAAGAGATAAACTGAGACCCTGAGAATGTTGTAACACCTTAAAACAAAGTTTCAAACCCATAGAGTTTTTTTTTATACAGTCTACCAACTCTCACCTTGGATTTGAGGACAAAGAAGTATCCAGTCCCCTTGGCCCGGCACACCAGCTTGCAGCGGTCTTTGGGTGAAACTCCAGCATACTTGGGCACCCACTCGACACCCTCGCCTGAACCCAGCGACACTTGGGCTGACATGTCGTTGTGGGCCAGGCACTGTTCCTCCCGGAATGACAGGCCTGAGAAGAGACACAGAGAGGTCAGATTTACTGCTTGTCCAGCCTAGCCCGCATGCTAACTTTCACACCAATGTGCAAGGTACATCAAAACAAATACATTCAAACTGAAGGACGTATTGCTTTCAAACCTGAGAACAGTATGTGGGTCTATGTCATTATACAGATAAATTATTTCTATGTGATAGCAATCTCTTACCATTGGTATCAGGGCAGGTCTCCGTGTTACAGGAGCGGTACTGGATCCTCTTGCCCTCACAGTACTTGCCCCCGTTCTTGGGCAAAGGGTTGTCACAGGAACGAAAGGAATACTGCACTCCTCCACCGCAGGTCCGAGAGCAGTCGCCCCAGGGACCCCACACCCCCCAGCCACCATTGACAGGAGTCTGGAAGCACCAAGGAGATGACAATTACAATTCTGAACTGGTTAAAACATAAATTGGTGCAACTGCAAGCAAAATATGGCATGTTATTGGACTGGGTCTGTGTCCTACCTGGTGTTTGGCGGCTTGGCTCTTAGTGAGACACTGTCCAGCCAGGCAGTAGCTGTCGTGCCCGCATAACGTCCCATCAGCCCAGGGGAAGTTCTTAGTCTGGCAGACCAGCAAACCATTGGATGTAGTCACAGTGCACCACAGAGCCGCACACGTGGTACTCAGATCGGGGCAGTGCTGGGACTCCTCGCCAAATGTCAGGCGGCACTGGTGGTCTGCGTTGTAGACCGTCCCGGGCAGGGGCTGGGGCAGGGGCTGAGGTTTGACCGGTTTATCCAGCAGGCACTGACCATGGCCGTTGTCCAGGAAGGTGGTGACCATGAGGGCGGAGCAGGGGGACCATGGCTGCTGCTGGTCCAGGTTGGACAGGGTGGAGGCCATCATGTGGGAGCCCCAGTGGGCACCGTTGACCCCGGAGCACAGCTGGGCATCATCATGAGGCATGTTGAAGACGTGGCCTGGAGGACAGAGATGAAATAAGGGTTCTTTGAGCACCTGGTGTGTTTGATGCAACAGGTGTTGTTTTTTTTACACACATTAGGATTTTTTCTACTTACCCAGTTCGTGTGCCACTGTAAATGCTGCTTGCAGCCCATCATCCTCAATAATTGAGCAGCTTCTGTCAGGGTCGCACACTGTGCCAACATCTGCCATGCCCAGAGTGTCACAAGAGTGGGCGCCACACAGGTCCTAAACAGGTAGAGAGAGAGCAAAATTAACGGTTGAATACTCTTGAATGCATCCTCTCTCCCTCTTTCTCTGTCTTAAAACACTTCCTCTTCTCCCACTGCCACTTACCGTCCTGGTGAAGAGCACGGCGGTGTCATAATGCT